CGGGCCGCCCGACCCGATTTTCTATGCCCGGCCGGCACTGTACCAGGCCGGGTCCAGGTCGATCACCGTCGAGAAGGCCCGGGCCCAGGTTTCCGAGCCGAGCCCGAGCCGGCGGGCTTTTTGGACAGCCCTAGGTCTGAGAGATAGAGAGAACTTTTAACGAGACATAGGAAAAATACATCACACGCAGACATCGAAGCATTTTCTTGGAGATATAAAACGAACGGCTGATTTTAAATTTTAAAGTTTTTATTTGAGGAGATGATAGGGCAGTGGATGGACTGTAGTGTAATTTAGAAAAGTCAACATTTTAAAGAAATATTACCACATGGCATTCATAAGGGCTAAAATACCAAATTTGTTTAAATAGTGACACCCTTTTATCACTTTGGCGTAAAAAGTGACACCAGCAATAATTTGACCTAGAAATTAACAAATCGATGACAAATAGACTTTTCTAATTGTCGGGGTTAATTTTTAGCAAAAAATTAAATAAATTTTATATATAGACCACTTAATCTCTCATGATTTTTAAATTAACTCATCTCCTTTCCATGAATTTCTGAAATTTGTAAAAAACACCATCTTTTTCCACATCTTCTTCCCACCATCTTCTTCATTCCCTTATTCTTCCTATACCCTAACCTTCCCTCCTCCCTCACTCCTTGTCCTACCTTATTTCATGGATCATCACAGTTACTTTCTAATTTCCTTCGTCTCCTCCAATCTCTTTTGCTCCAAAATACCTGACATCTCCTCCTCTCTCTCATTCCCTCTTCTTTCTCCTCCTCTTCCTTTGTCTCACTCTCTTCCTACTTGCTTCACCCACTCTAATACCAAAAATTAAACATTCCACCATAATCTTTACCTCATTCTTCTCTTCTTTTCTTACACTCTCTCTTCCTTCATGCTTCTTACTCCTCTTTCATCCCCCAATCATTAAAAAATCAATCTCCTTAAGAGTGAGGATATGTAAAAGAAAGAAGAGAGAATGGTGACGATTGGGAAAAGAAAAGAATGAAAGAGATGACAAGAAAGATGAGGGAAAAGATGATGGGAAGGGAGTGAGAGAGGAGTTCTTTTTATAAATATTAAAACTTAAGAGGTTAAACCAGAAAATATGAGAAATTTGAAGGGTATATATAAAAATCTCTTAATTTTCTTGCTTAAAAAAATTCTTCTGGTGACCGACAAGATTTATTGCCATTGATTTGTTACTTTTTAGGTCAAATTATCGCCGTTGTTATTTTTTAGACTAAAGTGATAAAGAGGTGACACTATTTAGGCCAATTTGGTATTTTAGCCAATTCATAAGATATGGATTAGTTTTACATATAAGTAGTTTCAAACCCGTGAAATGCACGGATTTTTGTAGAGAGATATCACATTTTTTATATATTTTATGTTGAATAAAAAATTGTAAGTAAAATTATTTATAGCTTTCAAGAAAACAAAATAAACAGGATTAATCATAAAATATACATTACACGAACTTAAAATGATATTACCAAAAAATCATATATTTTAGTTGTTACTGGTCATTTCTAAAACTTACATCCCCACTTCTACAAGAAGGATTGATGCTTGTATTTCATATCATTATAGTAGAAAATCTTCTAAATGCCTCAAATTTACATGCTTGAAAAACGATATATAAAGAGGAGGAAATGAAGATTGTGAACAATTCTATCGCCACAATTTGAAACCTGATGTACATGAGCGCATTTGTGAAAATGTATTCTAGTATGTATAATTATTTAAATAAGAGTGCACAATTAGTTAAAATAAATGATAAACATGCAAATTAAAAAAGTATATAATATTTTGATCCATTTTAAATATCTATCGTCGCACCAAACTTAAATGCAGTTGATTATTTAGTTATATAATCTTAAAAATACCTTTTCAAAATTAACAAAAAGATTACATTTGGAAGCTAAAATGTACAATGCAACATTGGATCATCCATACACAGATAAATTAGATAAGATAAAAAACTTAAAAAAAATAGGTACATATTGCTTACATTAACTGCTATTAACATCTCCACTGTTGACTTTAGTATAAGATGGATACAAACTACAAAGATATAGTTTCATAGTTAACACTCCTCTGAATTAAGTAGCTCAACTCACTAGTAGAAAATCGTGAATTCTAGACGGAATTTTTTCCGTCTAGAATGTATTAAACTAGACGGAAATTTTCCGTCTAGAATATTCCGTCTAGAATAAAACATTCTAGACGAAAAATTCCGTCTAGAATAGTATCCTAGACGGTTTCTTTATTTTTTATTTTTTTTTAAAAAAACCAGGTATTCTAGACAGAAATTTCCGTCTAGAATGTATTCTAGACGGAAATTTCCGTTTAGAATAACTGACCATTTTAAAAAAAAATCCGTCAAAACCCCAGCCGCCCTCCTTTCCCCCCAAAATCGGAATTTTCATCCCTAAAATCTAAATTTTCAGGAACACAGCGCCTCATTCCCCCAAATCTTCAACTCCAAGCTCCTACTCCTCCCTCCACCGCCTCCCCCTCCTCTCCCTCCCCCCGCCACCCTCTCTCTCTCTCTCTCTGTTTTTTTTTAACTTATTAGTGTTTCTGCCTTACAAGTATCAATTCTGATCAACAGCTTAGTTTGTGAGTATTCATTATCCTTCAGAAAATATCAAAGACCAACATTTATATTTGACATCTTAAATATCAACATTCATTCACTCTATGTATTTTATACAGGATTCAATGATCTGAAATGCTATATGAAAACCCTAAAGCAAATAAAGCTGAACTCAGAGCCTCTCAAGTACTTGAATATTTTCCAATTCGGCATCGACCAAAGCCCCGAAAACTCAAATCTTTTTTGCTACTCGCTAGTTCCTCCTTCCATTGCGCACAAATAGAAACAGAATGTCAGCGGCAAGCGGCGGCTGCCGAATTGAGGAGGGTCTCAAAGTGAGTTTACCTACCACCTGTTTGCTTTAATTCCGCAATGACTGTAACCTGTTATTTGCTAGATTTTATTATCAAGCTTATACGTGCGCTTCGTTTTGAGATAACGTGAGGGGTAGAAGAAAACTGCGAACCCCTCTCTGGTGGATTTTTTTTTAGAAAAGTCACAAACAAAATCATATCCAAAGGAAGGTAGAAGCGTAAAACTTTAAGAATCCGATGGAAAAAAATAGCATATGAAGTTGGGGAGACTACTATTTTTTATCACTTTTGATTATCTAGTGGATGATTGTGATTCATTCTAAATTGCTAAATTACCGGATTGACATTTTAGTTAGACCCATTTTACCACTAGGAAATTTTAAGGGTTTAATTTTAGAATACAGTATGCATAATTATGGTAATTAATTAGTAGCATAATTATGGTAATTTCAAGTAATTATTTTGGCTACTGACTTGATTATTGGCTTTGTTAGCGTAGATGTTCCTCTGTTAACAGTAAGCATATTCCATAACTGTCACATATCATCGTGACAGTGATAAAACACCAAATTCATAGTTTTTGAGATATAAGGAAATGAAAATTGTGATATGAAGTTCTCTAGATGAGAATACAATATGCACTTTATATATTATCGTCACAGAGTTGTTGATGTCTCCTAGTCAATTTCAAGGCAAGGGAATATGGATGTCAATATTGTTTTTAAGATTGTGAATTTACTCATGAACATAAAAGCAGTAAAATGAATTACTTAATTTCTGAAACTGGAATATGTGAAAAATATAAAAAAAATTCCCGATGTCAATAATACTTTTGGTATCAGTCCTAACTGCAGACTAACAATTTGACTTATATTGGAGTAAACTAATTGATTAGCTTGTTTTTCCAGTGTCTCAGATTTCCTTCTCAGTTGAGACTGATGTCCTAATTTTTCTATTATGGTATTTGAAGTGTCGAATTTGATATAACATTGAAATCTTTTAAAGACTAATTATTGTTTTTAGTTCATTTTTCATTCATATGCTTGTATCTGGTTGTTCCTCGTCTCAGGTGTAGAGCTCATTGTATTCGGTCATTTCTACTGATTACAGGGTATGTTTTACTGATTACAGGGTATGTTTTACTATGAATTGAACTTGCCAATTTTTTCTTCAGACTTTTATGATATTTCATGTTGGTATATATCTATATGCTTCATATTTTCTGTCCTCTTTTTTCTTTTTTGCTTGATGGAAATCTAATTTGTGACTGAGCATTGTCAAAGGAAAGAGAGAAATAGCAAAAACTAATTCTATGCTTAACCAATTTTTCATTTTCTATAATTATCTGAATTTTAGCTCAATTACTTCTTCTTGCTGCAACTCCGTTGTCCTGAATTTCAGCTGCATATGTGCCATTATTTGCTTTTTCAGTCCCTCACCAAGCATGTTCTTGTTTGCATAACATGATGCTTCACTGATCGTATCTCTCCACATGTTATATAATTATCATGATGAACGTGAAGCTATTGAAGTAATAGAATTTGGCATCATTAGTTTAAATTGACCCAGTAGAAGATATGCAGTAATATACTAATATATGATTTTTTCTTATTCTATCATTCTGGGAAAAAAATGTTGGTTGAAGGTCTGGACTATTTTAATTATGTCCAATTGGACATTGTTGAATGGGATAAACTGAAATTATTGCTAAGGAAAAAAAAAGACAAGATAACATTCTGCTGCTTCATGTTTCCAACAATCCAAAGTAGGGTCGCAATCATCCTTCAGTTGCCTCATTTCCTCACATTGTACATTTATATTATGAAAATGAAAATTGGTGATTAACCTCTGTTTCAGATGAATCACAAACATACACATTACTTGTTGCTGGTTGTTGGTTGGTCTGGTTGTTGGTTGGTCTGGTTGTTGGTTGATCTTGTTGTTGGTTGATCTGGTTGCTGGTTGTTGGTTGATCTGGTTGCTGGTTGTTGGTTGCTCTTGTTGTTGGTTGTTGCTGATTTCATTCCTTCTGATTTTGGTTGTTGGGTTCAGTCACTTGGAGTTCTATGTGTGTTCAAATTTTCCGCACTGTTTGTTGATTATGATACTGTTTGTGGGTGTTTAATTTAGGCTATGATGATTGTCAATTTTTCTGAGATTAGCAACCTGCAATATCTGTTGATATTGCACTAGATGGCTAACAATGATGATATTGAACAAGTTCTGAGCCCACAGCCATAATTTGCATATACATGTGGCTGATTTATTTGACATGATGTCAAGAAATATTTTCAAATGATTTTTTGCACATAAAGTTCAACATGCATAAATTATCAAGATCGATGCGATTTGCTATGTTATATACTAAAATATGGCTATTCAGGCCGTTTATATGTTTTTATAGGTTTCAGAAATTTGGTTGGCTAATTCAGGTACGTATTTCATAAATTTATGAATAATCAGGTTATTACAGGTCTTGTTTATTTTTTTCTTGGAAAACAGGTTTTGTGTGATTATTTTCATCTCAAACAGGTATATTTCATGTCAAATAAACAGAAATTTATAATTCTTAATACTTACCATGCTTGTCCCTGGAGCTAAAATTGTTCCTGCATACACACATTTTGAGATTAAGTACCTCATCGCACGCTCTTTGAATATTAATTGTTTTGGGTACAGGAACTCTCCATTTTACTATTCTTGGTGGAACACTATTCCTCAAATTGTTCCTGCTGGATTCATCTACTAACTGATTTAGATAATAGCTTTAGATAATAGCTTGTACTAAGAAATATGATACTCTACTTCGATAACTCCTTGCCTTATGCATAACCGTTCTTCATTTTGCAGCATTCCTGGCTATTATGAGGCATTCTGGAAGGAGATGGATGATGTTAAACAAATCTGGAAGAACAGAAAGCAAATCTGGAAGAACAGAAAGGAACTCAAATAGATTAATAATCATGTATCGATGAATTACATTCTTTCCTAGAAGTGTCATAGCCATTGTAAATAATTTATGTAAACGTTTATAAATAATGTATGTATCTCTACTATTTTGGTGAATGTATTATTTAAATATAATTGGATTTGATATTGGAATTAATTAGATTGTGTTGGATATGAATATAATTTTTTGTTGTTCAATATTGTGTACATATACTCAAAGTATATTCTAAAAAAAAAACTACTATAGCATAGTATTCTAGACGGAAATTCCGTCTAGGATACTAAAATTCCGTCTAGAATGTTTTTTAAAAGTTAAAAAAATAAAAAAAAAATTTAAAAAATCAAATTCCGTCTAGAATGAGATTTCTAGACGGAAATTTCCGTCTAGAATACTTATTCTAGATGGAATTTTTTTCCGTCTAGGATAAATTATTCTAGACGGAAATTCCGTCTAGAATAATCCGTCTAGGATGTATTCTAGACGGTTTTGAATTCCGTCTAGAATATTCCGTCTAGGATGTATTCTAGACGGAATTTCCGTCTAGAATACTACATACTAGACGGAAATAAACTAGACGCGTATTCTAGACGGAATTCCGTCTAGAATACGCATCCTAGACGGAATTCTGGGTATCCTAGACGGAATTTTCCGTCTAGGATGCCTCATTTTTTAGCAGTGACTTTCAAATTTCTAAAGGACACATACATGTGAATAATGTTTGCACCTCTCCAACTTTAAAAGAACATGTAGAGGATTGAGCCAATGATAATCGCTATGTTCACAGAAATTAAAACTGAAAAGAAAAACAAACCTTAACGCGCTCATCTAAGAAAATTAACCGACACACGGTCCTAGAAAACCCAGAGAGCAAAGAATAAGTAAACCCTCCACCAAAACCTTTTTTATGCATCTTCAATTGTAAAACTCTACTCACATTGAGCACAATATTACATAGTTCACAAAGAAAACAAATCTTCACACCCTACTTTCTTCCAAAAAAACGAAAACCGAAACTGAACACGTTCACTAAATTTAGTTTCATTGTTAAGAAAGAGATTCCATAGTCTATATGTAGATCCTTTTTACTTACATTCTCATGATGAATGACCCAATTTCTTTAACATTATAAGCTAAAATATGAAATGTTGAACACACTCTTCTTTTGCATTAATACATTGAGCTCATGAGAAACACATCAACTCGCCATCCTGTTTGAAGTAAAAAAAATATAAAATAAAATGTATAACGAAAATCTTATGTAAAATAGGAACTAAAATTCCAATTTTAATAAAACAATAAGCCTAACATAAATAAAAACCTAAAATTTTGCATAAACTAACATGCAAATTTTCTTGTTATAGTTGTCACAAAAATTTTAAAAATAAAAATAGTAAAATTTTGCCTTACTACAACTGACTCTAGGCATTCCACAGCAAACAATTTCATACTCAATCGAATTAAAGTTTGCTAAAACAATCCCATTACACGATAAAAAATTCCTAATTTTATGCACTAAATTTGCAGAGGTTCTCTGACTTATTTAATTTTATTGTAGGCAAGAACACAAACAAACACAAACAACTAAAGTGCAAAAAGTACACCACCTCAACATTGAAACCACCTCTTCACTGAAACAATAGTGTCCTTTTGTTATGAACCTTGCAACTCATCTCCCAAACTTGTTTACACACATAAAAAAAGAAAAAAAAAACAAGAAGCAGCCTCTTGTTAATAATCCTTTTGTTAATAATCCTTTTTTCTTCTGTAATCTTTTCGTGCAATTCTACTTTTTCTTTCATTATTTTCAGTACTTCTTCTAAACAAGAAGCAACCTCATGTTGAGACAATTCGACATCCTCTTTAAGCTTGTAAATGTGCTCATTGCATCCTCTTAGCTGATTTTTCACACCTTTGAAATAACTCCTCCTTCAACAGCAACATATTTCTCACACCATTGATCTCCTCTCTTAGAAGCGGAAACAATTAACATCCAACACTACACATTGGTTTGTCAATCCATTCCAAAATCCCACAACCACCAGCCTATCATTACTCAAAAATCAAAGGAGACCATAATCAAGTGAGATGCGCAAAAAATTACAACTTCCAAGTAAAAACTGTAGTTGAATATTGTAACAAATGAGGAAGTAAATTTAACTTACATGCTGATTGCGACATTTGTAGAACATCCGTCTTGGATTTTCATTAGTCATAAAAATAAAATATTCGCACTCCAAACCACAATTACAAACCTTCACCCTAGATTGCTTTGCTAGATCATTCCACTGTCGTATAGCTTTTATTCCATTGAACCCTTGCCTGCTTCTTCCCATGCTCGTGCTTGACACTGATCTTGAGCGACAGCTTGAAGATGAAAAATCCATCACTAATTTAACTCCCACTGAACCTAACCCTAACCCTAGGAGGAAGAAGAAGATGCAGTAAGAAGAAGAAGATGGAGTAAGAAGGAGGAAGAAGAAGATGGAAGCCCTAATTGGAGATATAAACCCCCTTTTGCCGAAATTTATTCATCTCAACTACCGCTATGCTGGAGTCCACGTCAAGGCCACGTCGGAGTCACGTGAGCTGTCGCGTGAGAATAATGGCCGAAAAATTAACTCCGGCCAAATTTAAGGCCTATATGACGCCGGAGTCGACAAAATATACCAATCTGACAAAACTAAAAAATATATACCAACATGTCACCAAGCCTCTATAAAATATACTAATTTGGCCATTTTGCCCTTATCAAATAGAACCAAATAAAGAATCCAAAGTGTTTGAATTAACAACTCGCACCTCTTCTTCCTGCTTCCAAGCTCCTCGTTGGTCGTGCTCACATAACCCTCCTGAATTATGGCTTGTCTCCTGAAACCCCATAAATTTTATCTTATCTCACATATACCCGCTACTTGTACTTTATAAATAATTAAAATTTTCTTTGAGTGAAAAAATTCCCACAGTTGATCACCTGTCATTTACAGGCAATATACCCCTTCCCTAAAGCTTGAGTTTTTTCTCTCAAAAAAATGTTATTTATTTAAAATTTACATGCAAGAGGTTGGATGAGATAAGTTAAAGTTTAGTGGTCTTTTGTAAGACACCTATATATATAGTTTTATTTCGGGTTTTCTTTTTGTTTTGAGATGGGGTGGGGTGGGGTGGGGTGGGGTGGGGT